CCCCAAAACCCCAAAACCCCAAAACCCCAAAACCCCAAAACCCCAAAACCCCAAAAGCCTGAAAAAATGTTGAAATTCCCTATAAATTTATCCCATTCACAAATGAAGGCCTCAAATCCCGAACAAAGCAAGTACAAATCCTCTAACACTACAGGCCCTTCTGAACCTTCCGAGCCCAAAAAGAAAACCTTAAAGAATTACACTAAAGAATTCGAACAGAAAGCAGCCAGAAACAGCGAAGAACTAATGAGAACTCATGAATTCAGGAAGGAAAATATCAAAGAAATGGAGCTCGAAGAGAAAGATTACTTTGAATATGACCCTAATGAGCCGGAGAGATATGCCTCCCTTGATCCAGACTATATGTTCAAGTTTGAAACAACCTTTTCGTCCATAAAATGGGGCATCTTTGTGGGCTCCCTCTTTGCCCTCCACAGATATCACAGGACAAGAGATGTGAACAATGCTGCCCATTGGTTCACAGTCATGTCATTCTTCTCCTTCTTCAATATCTGGGTAAGCAACTCCATCCAGCACTTTATTTCTGACTATTCAGTCAGAAAGTCAGTGAGTCTCGGTCAGAGAAATGAGTTCCAAAAGGATGCTTATGAGAATTATTTCGAAACAGTAGAGAAAAGAGTCAAAGTAATCGACAAAGAGCTCAAAGTTCAGCCAATAATGAAGAACTCGCAGGCTGAAAGCCTGAACGAGTTCATCACTAGTTATCAAGACTACCTCAAAGCCAAGTTCGAGTCTGGAAAAGCTGTTGATATATTCGGAAATATCTTGAGGTATAACAAATTAGGTGAACAAATCGTCAAAGAGGATGTTTACAATCAGAAGCTCTCTCTGGCTGAAGCCAGAGAGAAAGCTCTGAAAGTAATCAAAAACATTGAGGAGGTTGACCTGAAAAGTTATGACTTTGAAAATGATCCCGATTGAGTATACATTTAAAGAAGCCCAATCAGGAATCACTTTATAGGGGTTTTGGGGTTTTGGGGTTTTGGGGTTTTGGGG